GTTTAATTTTGTATTGTTGATACAATTTTTTATTGTTTCTTAAAGCAAAGAAAGCCTGAATACATGAAATCTCTGACCTATATGGCAATGAGTTTTTAAACAATTTTTCAAAATATTTGTAACATCTTAATGTCATATGAATACATATGTGATTTCTATTGATGATAAAAGTCACAATAGTACTAGTACTATTATGGTCTGTTGCCTACATTTATAATATTATAGAAGGAATGCTAAGATAAAGATGTAATTGACAGACCCTTCTAAGGTGGTAGTATGAAGTGAATACTTGCGTTCCATTTCCAACTTCACTAGCATATTCTGAGACTCATCTGGGTTTGTGCCCATGTCTGGGCTTTTGTTGAAACTCATAGACTAGACAGAAAATAGCAGGTCTGCAGACCTCAGCTGGCATTGTGGCGGTGGCTGGTGATGTCAGACCCCTTAGCTTTTGACGTTGTTGTGCTGCGCTACTTCCCAAATAACTTCTAAGACCTGCTGAAAGTTTGAGAAACTTGGAATTTACTAGTACTTCCATAGGAAGAAACAACATCCAGATCACAGTGACCTGCTTGCTCTAAGGAAGTCGCCTTCTTTATCTGATTGTGGAAGCCAGTGGTTGGGTCATCAACAAAAGGCATTAAGCTTATGGGGTAAAATGTATGAGAAGCAAGGCTTAGGTTATACACCATTCCTCTAGGCTCTTGGATAAGGGCATTGCTGGTGCAGATAGTTTAAACCAAATATATATGCCAGGCATTGACAACTAAAACTGGTATAAAACTTAAATGTCAAACAGAAGTGATTTCCTCAAATTGACACAGCTGTGAAGTTGATTTTCAAACAGGCTTTGTCAAAGCCTAACCTTCAGTGAACACACCCACTAGCAAGAGTCATAAGTCACCTGCACCTTTCTGTAGGGTAGTGTTGGACACCATTTATAGCTCTGTGACTGCTTAGTGGCACATAAACTGTAGGTACAGCTGTTTTCAATATATCTGACCAGGTTTCAGTTCTTTGAGAGCTGTTTCAGAAGCTAAACCACGAGCATATGGAATCAGGACTGTGTTTGTTAAAAATCTGGTATGGCTTTTGTATGCTTTGCTGTTATATGGGTAAGGACTCATCTATCGGGTCTAGTAATAATTAATGTCGTTTTGAAACATTGCTTGGCGTTGACTTGTATTGACATAACCTTCAAACACGTGGTATCTACAGAACGTGTGAAGTGCAATTAACAAGTTTTGCTTGAAAATGTTTGTGTTTGGTTTGGTTTTTGTTGCAAAACTAGGGCTAAGAAAATGGCGGATGAAGAGCATATTCGGCACTGCATGCTTTACGAGTTCCAATTAGGAAGAAAAGCAAGTGAGGCTGCAAAAAACATCTGTAGTGCTCTTGGTCAAGATGCAGTTAGCGCCAGAAAATGCCAGCGTTGGTTTGAGAAATTTCGCAAGGGAAATTTTTCGTTAGATGACAAGAGTGGTCGAGGCCGTGTGTCCAATTTTGATCAAGAAGCTCTTCAAGCTCTTTTGGTGCAAAATCCTCAAATTACCCAACAAGAGCTTGCCACAACTTTAGATTGTTCACAAAAAACAATTTCCAATCAATTGCGTGCACTTGACAAAGTCCAAAAGTTTGGAAAATGGGTTCCTCATGAGTTGACCGACAACAACCGTAATCAAAGAGTCACAATTTGCAGTTCGCTCCTCTCTTGTCAAAACTGTTTGCCGTTTTTAGAGCAAATTGTTACCGGAGATGAAAAATGGGTGCTGTATGTTAATTTGAAAAGGCGGCCTCAATGGTTGGACAAAAATGAGGCTCCGCAGCCCACGCCAAAACCTGACTTGCATGCGAAAAAAGTGATGTTGTGTGTTTGGTGGAATTTTAAAGGAATTCTTCATTATGAACTTTTACCATCTAACCAAACCATTACAAGTGCAGTGTATAGTGCCCAATTGGAAAGGTTAGCCCAAGCTTTAAGAGAAAAAGAACCTGCGCTGATTAATCGGAAGGGCGTAATTCTTCACCACGATAACGCACGACCGCATACTGCAAAAATCACTGCTGAAAAACTGCGCCAGTTGGAATGGGAAGTTCTCCCTCAACCTGCATATTCTCCTGATATTGCCCCTTCCGATTACCATTTGTTTCGTTCTTTGCAAAACTTTCTTCTTGGAAAAAAATTTAATAATGAAGAATGCCTCAAAAATGCATTGACCGAATTTTTTGCATCAAAATCACAAGAATTTTACAACAGAGGGATTAAAATGCTTCCTGAGCATTGGGCACAAGTAGTAGAAAACAACGGCAACTATATTGTTGATTAAATTTTGTTGTATTGTTTAAATAAATTCGATTTTTAAAAAAAAGTATTAGAAAACGACATTAATTATTACTAGACCTAATATTATAGGTGATGTATTATAGAATTTTATACCTAAAACTTATATAATTTTATTAACTAATGTCACCCCAGCAAGTTCAATTTTTTTAAAAGTAAAGGGGATAAAAAGAACAAGTAGGACTGGAGGCTCAAGGAAGTATGTCTGGAATAAAGCACAGCATTTTGGAGGGAACATGATGTGTTAGATGAGCTAAAAGAAGGCCAGCGAGCAGAGCACAGAGATGACAGTGATACAAGATGAGGTTGGACCACATCACCTATGGCCCTGGCTTCATTAATGATTGGAGGTTTTCCCTAGAGAAAGAGAAAACCACTGAAGGATTTTGAGCTGTAGTTAGTGACCAAATCTGAATTCTAAAAAGAAGGGAAACAGAAAGACTAAGCTGAAGGTTTTTGAGTTAGTGCAGATAAGCCTTGATAGTAGCTTGGCACTTGATTATGGTGATGGGCAAGGAGAGAAGCAGATTGGTTCAAGAAATATGGAGGAGGACAAATAAATTTTGATGGTGGATGGATAGAGGTGATAAAGAAGGGAGGAAGTGTCCAGGATCCACATGTCTAAGGATTCATGTGTTTCTAATTAGATGGTGTACCATTTACTGAAACAAGTAACACTGGTAGATTTAGGGATGAGTTCAGTATTAGACAACACATCGGAGTGAAGCTGTCAAGTAGGCAATTAGATACAAAAATCTGGGAGCAAGGGAAAAGTCTGGATTGGAAATATAAATTTGAAAGTCACTGGACATAGTAATTAAAGCCATGGACATGAGTACAATGGCCCAGGAATCCCTGAAGAATGCTAATATTTAATAGTCCAGTAGAGAAAGATGATATAGAAAGGAAAAACAGAAGTTTGAGAGCAGGTGGAAAGCAAGCCAAGTGTGGTGTCCCAAAAACCAGTGAAAGAGTGTTTCAAATAGGATGGAGTGGTCAATAGTGCCAAATGTTGCTGAGATGTCTGGTAAGAGGTGGCTACAAAGTTTCAATTATAGAAGATAAAAAAAATCCCAACAATGATGGCCGAGTTATGGAGCTGGAGCAAGCAGGAGTCTTGGATTTCCCCTGGTCTTCACTCAAGGCTACAAAGTTTCAATTATAGAAAATAGATAAATCCCAGATACCTACTTCCAGCCTATGCTTGGGTTTCTAGGGAGCATGGCCAGCCTGCAAACCACCACAGGCTCCTCACTCAGGCTAGCCCCCACCCTGATCTGGGACACCCTTCAGGGCAAACCAGCCAGCCCTCACCCATGCATCAGGCCTCTATCCTATCTAATAAAAGAATAATATGAAAATTGACCATCACTCCAACACACAAGATGGCTGTCCCAATGTGGACACAAGATAGCTGCCACAAGATGGCCAACAGGGGAGGGCTGTTGGGAGGGACCAGGCCTGCAAGGAAGGGAAGTTGGGGGGACCCAGGCCTGCAGGGGAAGGCAATTAGAGGTGACCAGGCTGTCAGGGGAAGGCAGTTAGGGGCAATCGGGCTGGCAGAAGAGCAGTTAGACATCAATCAGGCTGGCAGGGGAGTGGTTAGGGGGTGATAAGACTGGCAAGCAGAAGTGGTTAGAGGCAATCAGGAAGGCAGGCAGGTGAGCAGTTGGGATCCAGCAGTCCTGGATTGCAAGAGGAATGTCAGATTGCCTGGGATGGGGCCTAAATGGGCAATCGGACACCCCTTGAAGGGTCCCAGACTGGAGAGGGTGCTGAGGGACACACACCCCATGCATGAATTTTGTGCACCAGGCCTCTAGTTCATTAATAAATGGAAAATAAACTGAGACTTCACCTTAGTGGTGGGGATTAGGGCCAACAAAAGCATGCAGGCTCCATCAAAAAGGGGCAGTCCTCCATAGCTCTAACTGATTGCTGCCTCAAGGGAATGGAGCTAATGATAACATGTCTTCTTATTTTACAAAACAAGGTAATACTCTAAATTTTTCATGTTAAATCTCCCAATTGTTAAATTTATGTTAAATTATATTTAAAAAATAATAACATGAAGGCCAAATTAAACCCACCTGCAGGCCAAAATCCACTACTGAACTGCCAATGTGCAACCTCTCACCTCAATAATGGGATATAATAATTTCTCCTAACCTAACCACTCTTGCCCTTGATTTCTTTCTTTTTTTTTTTTTTTTTTTTTTTTTTTTTTTTAAATATATTTTATTTATTTCATATAGAGAGGAAGTGAGAGAGATAGAGAGTTAGAAACATCGATGAGAGAGAGTCATCGATCAGCTGCCTCTTGCACACCCCCTACTGGGGACATGCCCGCAACCAAGGTACATGCCCTTGACCGGAATCGAACCCGGGACCCTTCAGTCCCCAAGCCGACGCTCTATCCATTGAGCCAAACCGGTCCCGGCTCTTGCCCTTGATTTCTATGGTGGAAGCAATCAAAGTTGAAGAGGTGATGAAGCCCAAAGGGATGTGATCTAGATACCTCATTCTGCTCCAATGCCTAGATCAGTACCTGGCACATAGTGGATCCTGATGAAAAACTTAATGAAACAATAAGTCAGTAATGGGCAGCCAATTCAATTCCTTGGGCTAACCTGAGAAACTGTGTCATTTCTCTTGACAGCTTTGCGAAGTCGTTCTGGCCGCTCCATTATCAACGGGAACTGGGCAATTGACAGGCCGGGAAAATATGAGGGTGGAGGGACAATGTTCACCTACAAGCGTCCAAATGAGATTTCGAGCACTGCTGGAGAGTCCTTTCTGGCTGAAGGTCCCACTAACGAGATCTTGGATGTTTATGTGAGTTTGTATGTTTCTGTTCTTGGGATAGTTTATCTTGTTGCTTCTAAGGACCACACTTAGAACAAATAAGCAACAAATCATTGCCCATGCTCAGTATGACCATCTGAGCCAAGTCCCTGGAGGTGCCCTTACATCTCAGCCTTCATATTCACCTGAATGTGCCCAGCTCACAGAAACCTTAAACTCTACCAGATGCTTAGAACCCTCTGAGTTTATTGACCCAGTAAAACCAATTTTACTTGTTGAACCAAATCAGAGGCAAAACATATCCTTTATTTCATGAGCATTGGATCTCCTCCAGGCCCTTTCCTCCTAATGCTTATTTGGCATGTTTTCTTTTTATGGTAAAGGAAAGCAAATGCCTAAATCAAGACAAGACCGCTCACAGTTCCCAGCCCTCTTCAAATTCTGTTAAAGCAGATGAAGACAGGAGAACTCCAGAGTGCTCCAGATGACCCAGTAAAGTGCAAAGTAGCAATACAGAGTTTACTAGGCATTCCCTGCTTCACAGGGAACTTCAACTTACTTAACAAGAAAATCAATTATGAAGACACAAGTTAAAAACAGTCCTTGTTTTTGAAAGAAACACTAGAATCCAGTCTTCTTTAAAACATTAGGAAATAAAAGGTGACAGAAATAAAAGCTTGAAATTGGGTTTTATGATAGAAAGAATGAGCTTGCTTATAGATATGCATTCTCTTACAACCTCCCAAACCAGAACATGTATGCATTAAGGTTTTATATATATTACTTCTTCAAATATAAATTTACATGTTTGTTCCTCTCGGGCCTAATAGCACATGGACTGGAAACTATAAAGAAAGCCTTGTGATAGATATTCTTTTACACTGTTCGATGGGTTGTTGGACTCTGGGTAGGTTTAGAATGGCATCAGGGATAAAAAGCCATTTTGTTAAAGGACCACTGTGGGTGGTCTAGGACATAGTAGCCAACAATAATTTTCTAAATGGGACAAGGTTTGTATTGGCAGAACGCTCACACAGCTCAAGAGGCATGGAAGACAAAGAGAGAGTTTCCAGCCACAAACCAATTGTCGAATTGTGTGAAAGGAGAAGTAAATGAGGGGATGAAGGGTAGACCACAGGAACCTGAGGTCATAACACGGTCTCTCAGGACTCTGTGTGCACCACCATGGTTTCTGAGTGTACAAAATCCACCGGGTGATGTATAAAATGGAGGCCTCATTTCACATGCAGGGAAGACATAAGAGATAAAGGCATAAATGGACATAATAGACATATTCAGAAAACAAACTGCTTGAAGCATAAAAGACTTAAGAGATCATCTGTGATTCCAACTTCTTCTCCAGATGAAGAAATAAAAAACTGAGATTAAGGGACTTGATTTAGGTTACACAGCTGGTCAACAAGAGAGCCCCTGTATAAAGCAGTAGAGACAGAAATACCAGGAGGTAGCAGTGTTTCCTTGCCTGACTCAATTTTCTCAGGAAATCCTTCTTCTGTTGGTGAACTGAGCCCATCGCTCTGCTGCCCACCAGTAAAGCCAGGGGCATTTGTGCTCCAGGACCAATAGAGAGGGATTTATTTTGCTGGACCATGCTGATTTATTTTTTTCTTTTGCCCCAGAAAAGTCTCATTCCTGACCTGCACAGCCCTATGCAGCTTGCTGTTTTACTTTTGTCATTGGTTCCTAAGAGAATAGGACCTAGGGACAGTTACTTCCCTTATACCTGTTTTCCTGACCCCATTTCTTTGTGGTCTAGAGCTTTCTATGGATGAGAAGGGGAGAAACCCAAGAGTCAAAGAAGAAGAGGCTGTGGGCAGGCCTTTCCTGAGCCAGCCTCACTGGCCAGGTAGAAAATGATGAGAGAACCTAAACTTGTATTCGGCTGGCTCTGCCAGAGATGGGCCCTTTGCTTGGCTCTCTTGACACCTAATATTCAAACAAGTTCTCTGAAGTGTCAATATGTACCTGCTTGGACACTCTGAGAGCACTAAGCAAAATCACATTGCTCCCCCCTTCCTATTTAGAACTTATAAAATATTCACTTTCAGCCTAGTTTTCTTTTGAGTTTTTCATTCTTCTAAAGCAAATAACAAAAAGCCATCTGGAAATAGCTTTGTTTAATCTGTCACAGGTTCACTGATATTATTAGATGTGAATCGAGCCCCTCACTTATAGATCCTGTCACTTATTCCACTGAACCCAATGGATGTGCGTGCCAGCCCAGTGATGCTGACTTTTGTGTTGTCAGATGATACACCAGCAACCTAACCCAGGAGTCCACTACGAGTACGTTATCATGGGGACTAATGCCATCAGCCCACAAGTGCCACCTCACAGGAGATCAGGTAAAATCCCTTGTTTTGCTGCCAAGCACTCAGGTCATTTCTCTTTATTTATTTTTAATTTTAGTTCAAATTCATTTCCTTTTTATTAAAGTTCAAGTTACCATTACATGATTTGGTTCTCAGTAATTGAAAACTTGTCCAAATAGGTAATATGTTATCATCAGTATTTCAAGGTGATTTTTACACTCCAGTATTATCAGTAAATCCTTGGAGAGCCTATTGCTAGGATTTATACTTTGTCAAAGTTCAGTTCCTCTGGAGTGAAGATTCCCAGTGCATTTAAATTTGGTCTAAGTTCCTGGATGACATAAGGGTAGGTTTTCTTATGCAGTCCTGCTTTGTCCTTAACAACCTCTAGGATGCTAACCACACTAGCAAAGTCATTTAACCATCTGCATGCCTGCAAAGCAGAATCAATTATTTGGGGTTCTGGAGCCAGATCAAAGCCAATAAGTATGTTCATCCCTTTATGCAATTCCCAGACATCAATACCTGGCTTGTTGAAGTATGTCACCCAGTGAGCTTCAAATTCCTCATCTGTCTCATGTTAACCATGGGAGTATTAGCCAACTGATAGCTTGGAGGCAAGACAGGAGCCAGGCAGGGTACAAGAGGGCTCAATGGAGAAGGGTACCCAGCATGCCAAGACAAGGGGAGTGCAGGCTAAGGCTAAAAGTTGGAGCCTTTTCTTTTAAAGACCCTTCCCTCTTCTTCTGTGTAGTTACCCTTTCTCTCTAAATCAGCACAGAGAAAACCCAGGGACACATACTTCAGAGTCAGTGGCCCTGATGTCACCACTCATCTGAGCCTTTGCTGATTCAAAAAGAAGTGAACACCCTGGGTCTTTCTCTCCAGGTCCTCATTTTGAAATGCCTTATACTGGTTTCTTATTGTTGCCATAATAAATTGCTTCAAGCTTAGTGGCTCAAAACAACACAGACTTATTCCTTTACTGTTCTAACAGTCAGAAGGCCAACATGGTTTGCTGAGCCAAAATTAACGTATGGTTGCCATGTCCCCACAGAGGCTGTAGGAGAGAGTGTTTCCTTGCCATTTTCCAGAGGCCACTTGCTTTCCTTGATTCACAGCCCCTTCTTCAATCATCTAGGCCAGCTGAGCACCTTCACATCTCTTTCTGGCTCTCACCCTCTGCTTCCATCATCACATCTCTTTTCCTGACACTCACTCTCCCGCCTCTTTCTTATAAGGACTTTTATTGGGGCCACCCAGATAATCCAGGATAATCTCTCCACCTCAAAATCTCAATCATGTCTGCAAAGTCCCTTTTGCCATATAAGGTGATTAGGACACAGACATCTTCTGAGGTCTTTTTGCCAGTGCCTTTTCTATTAGCCTCCTTTTGCTTCTGTTAACGCTACATTGATCTATTAGAAAAGAATAATGAATTCACACTTAACAACCTGCCTCTTCCCTAGGGCTCTGCTGATAGACAGGGCAGGCAGCTTTTGTTTAAGAATGGCACACACTTGGGCTCTGCAGATGTTTCTTTGTTGAGTGCTGATGGAGCCCACCACCTGAATGGAGACTGTTTTTTCCATCTTTCAAACAGGAAGGTCTGCAGAAATATTAATGATGACAGCTGCTCACATTCACTGGGACCTTGCTGTGTACTGGACACTGCTGATCCCATCACATAAATTAACTCACCCAATTTTCACCAAAGTGCTCAGAGGAAAATACTGTTATCAGCCTCGTTTTAACAATCAGGAAGTGAAAGCTTAGGGAGATTAGGTTCTTATCCAGATCCCCAGTGCTTGTTATATACTGCCTAGAGGCAATCTGGTCCAACGCTTGAGGGGACAGGTGTGAGACCTGGCACATCCATTCTTCTCTGGGCTGCCAATCAGATAATAATGTTACCTGATTGTCACTGGCCACTGGTAGACAACAGCCTGGCGTGTGTCAAACACATAGGGTACATGTGTTGTTCAAACTCCAAGTTAGCGTACTCAATCCGACAGATTTTTTAAACCATTTCCAGGAGCAATACACAGTCTGAGAATAATTCCAGGGGGCAAACCAATGCTGATTTATAAGGGCAATTGGACAAACTACTTGAAATCATATAGAATATTAATGTTTGATAACAAGACTAATGGGTTTCACCTAACAGGTAGCATGGAGTTCTGGGGTCCATTGCCTGGGGCAGGGCAGGACCAGAAGGGATCACTTGTAAAAAGTTGGTGAGAAAGGGCATCCTGGACCAGGCGTCATCCTCCATATCAACTGAGTTAGAAGGGTAGAGCCTGAATCCAACTCTGCCACTTTCTTGCTGGGCAACCTCAGGCAAGTCAGTAACTTCTCTGAACACATTTCTGTGCTCAAAAACTACACTCAAAGGTTTGATTTTGAGGGGGCAGGAAGTAGGGAACTTAATAAACTAGGCATCAATCCTAGTGCCCAGTACATACAAAGTACTCAAAAGTGTTTTTTTGTTGATAACATCTTGGACAGTCTCATTTATATCAACATGCCTGATTTTGTCTCTGTTATTTTTAATTTGCATGTTGTATTTTAAACCACGAAATTGTAAGTAGCCAATTAGATAAGAATGTATTGATGAAGAGGCAAAGAAAGCCCTATGTTTTAACTTGATTTAACAGTAACTGTCGAATTTGACTCCTTATTTTGTAACAAACTAATATATGCTTGGATAAATGTTGCCAAATTGTTGTCCAAAATTTGCATCTTATTTGCAGACTCCTTTACAGTGTATGAGAATGTGTTTTCAGAAACCTTCAGCAAAGAGTGTAGTGATTAAGGGTTTCCAAGGTCTCTAATCTTTATTATTAGGCAAATAGATTTTTTGTTGTTCTTGTTTTCACATGTAGTTCTTTAATTATAAGTGAAGTTGGGCACTTTTATCTGACTTTTGTCAGCTTGTATTTCTTTTTGGGTAAATTGTCTCTCCCTGGACCTTGCTTACCTTTCCTATTTGAATGTTCATCTTTTTTCTTATTTGTTTTTTTTTTTTTAATGTTTTAAATGTTAAAGAAATTTGTGTCTGCTTATTTTAAATATATGTGCTGTGAATTAGAAGTGATCTCATGCTACCTGATTTAAAATGTTGAAGCAGTTTTCTCTTTATGACTTACCCTCCAAACTCAACTTCCTTCTGCGTGTGCCCTGGTCTCTCTCAGGGAAGCCCTTCCAGGGTCAACTGCTCCCAGAGGGGAGGAGTCAAGAGGCAGGAGAAGAGAAGGAACAGACTGAGAAGAAGGAAGACTTGCATGGTGGAGCACCAAAAATATTCACCTCAGAATCTGCACAGACCTTCTCAGCCAGGCGTCCAGATAGATTTTCTTCCCACTGGCCAGGCAATTTGGTTCCACCAGCACCACAGCCCCCAAGACGAAGCCGAGATCACAACTGGAAGCAGCTTGGGACCACGGAATGCTCAACGACCTGTGGGAAAGGTGAGCGCCCAGGAGACAGGTGTGTGTGGAGGGTGGAGTGGCGGGGGGGGGGGGGGGCGGCGGTAAGGAGGATGGGGCAGGGACATAAGCCTAACCCTGCTATGGCTCACTAGTGTGAGGTTGTGTGTGTGTGTGTGTGTGTGTGTGTGTGTGTGTGTGTGTGTCGGGGGGGGGGGGGGGAGAAGGGGGGTCCCCAAGATCACCTTCAGGTTGGACTTATGAGACAGAAAAGCTGCTGTGCTCGTAGTTACAATTTATTACAATGAAAAAAAATATAGGTTAGAATTGGCAAAGGGAGACAGAAAGCTAATTACACATCGAGGCCAAAACCATTTTGGCAAGGACCTGTCCATGACACAATAGAGGTAAGCAGTATGAAAGTTAATTGACACAGGAACCCAAGATCAAAATGTATTTTTATTGAAATAGCCTGCCATTTAGGTTATGGTGTGATGCCTGTTGCAGGGACTGGATACACTCAGAACCAGGTGAAGACAAGGGAAAGTTATAAAAAGGATAAAAATGGTTGTCATGTGGTTTTGCATTGAGGGTAGCATGTGTATATTCTCTTCTATTTCATGTCTTTAAAGATAGCCTGGCCCAGACTGCCCAGAAGGGTGAGATGCAGCCCTCTCTGGAGATGGTCAGACATGGTCAGACATGGAGATGGTCAGACTGCCCAGAAGGGTGAGATGCAGCCCTCTCTGGAGATGGTCAGACATTGCTTTGTGGATATAACAGATGAGGACAAAAGCATGTGCCATTAGCCAGCTCACCCTCATGCTGCTCACACAGTCTGCTTACATCCAGGAGGCCATTCAGCAGGTCTCCTCTGTTCTGTACCAGACGTGATGGCAGGACTCTGTACCAGACGTGATGGCAGGACTCTGGCTTGACTCCCTCATCACCACTCCAGTCTTCATGGTTCACACTAAAATAAAAATCTACCACTCTTACTGTTCTCTCTGGTATCTTGCAGGCACTTGCTTGCTTGCACTTCACCATCTAGCTCAGACATCACCTCTTCTGTGAAGCCTACCTGATTCTGTAAGGCAGAGGTAGGCACTTCTTCCCTGGACCTCATAGCAATTTGGGACACAGTTCTTTTTGTCCCAACTCTTCTTGTCCTGGCTGTCTACATGAGTGTACACTTTGCAACTTCTGCTGTTGGTATCAGTTCACCTGGAGACACTGGTGGGGCAGTAAGTATTCCTTAAGTGCTTCTTGAATGAATGGCAATATGTGCACCTGGCCTTTCCATATAATATAGACACACACACTGAGTGGCCAGATTATTATGATCTCTGAACACATAATAATCTGGCCACTCAGGATATATATATATATATGGCCTGGTGCATGAATTCGTGCATGGGTGGGGTCCAGCCAGCCTGGTCAAACTCCTGGTTTAGGAGACAATTTGCATATTAGACTTTTATTATATAGGATATACACTGATTGGCCAGATTATTTTATATCCTATATAATAAAAGGCTAATATGCAAATTGTCCCCTCCACCAGGAATTTGAAGAGGAGGAAGGCTGGCCAACCACCCATGTCCCCTCCCCTGGCCAGGCTGGCCGGACCCCACCCATGTACGAATTCATGCACCAGGCATCATATATATATATATTAATAAAAGAGAAGCAAGCAAATTGACCATCACTCTGCTACCCCCACCAGCCAATCAGAGCAAGTATGAAAATTAACCCAACAAAGATGGCAGCTGCCATGGAGCTGGAGTAAGCAGGAGGTTTGAGTTGCCCTCAGGCATGGAAGAAGGCAAATTTTCTGCCGCCCTGGCCTGCCCTGGAACTCCGCTCAAGGCTATAAGTTTCAATTATAGAAGATAAATAAATTCCAGATACCTGCTTCCAGCTGGCCCTGGCCTATGCTTGGATCACTGGGGGGCATGGCTGACCTCCAAAAAACCACAGGCCCCTCACCCAGGCCGCCCCATGCCCCAAGGGAACCCCTACCCTGATCTGGGACACCCTTCAGGGCAAACCAGTTGGTTCCCACCCATTCACCAGGCCTCTATCCTATCTAATAAAAGAGTAATATACAGATTGAGCATCATTCCAACACACAAGATAGCTGCCCCTATGTGGACACAAGATGGCTGCCACAAGATGGCCAGTAAAGTATGTCAGTTGGGAGGGACCAGGCCTGCAAGGAGGGCAATTGAGGGAGATTAGGCCTGCAGGGGAGGGAAATTTGAGGGGAACCAGGCCTGCATGAGATGGCAGTTGGGGGGGACCAGGCTGGCAGGGGAGGGCAGTTAGGCATCAATCAGGCTGGCAGGGAGTGGTTAGGGGGTGATCAGGCTGGCAGGCAGAACTGGTTAGGGGCAATCAGGAAGGCAGGCAGACAAGCATTGGGAACCAGCAGTCCTGGATTGCAAGAGGAATGTCCGACTGCCCAGGATCGGGCCTAAACAGGCAGTCGGACATCCCTTGAGGGGTCCCAGATTGGAGAGGGTGCAGGCTGGGCTGAGGGACACTCCCACCCCGTGCATGAATTTTGTGCACTGGGCCTCTATACACACACGCACACGCACACGCGCACACACACACACACACACACACATACACACACACACACTGAGTGGCCAGATTATTATACATTCAGAGATCATAATAATCTGGCCACTTAGTGTATATAATAGATTATATATATAATATAATATATATTATATATAATTATATATTATATAATAGATTATATATAATTATATAATCTATTAGTGTATATTATAGATTATATTATAATCTATAATTTATTTATATAATCTATTAGTGTATATTATAGATTATATTATAATCTATAATTTATTTATTTATTTATATTAAACTTATATAATTTATTTATATAAGTTTATATTATAAACTTATATAAATAAATAAATCTGGCCACTTAGTGTATATAATAGATTATATATATAATATAATATATATTATATATAATTATATATTATATAATAGATTATATATAATTATATAATCTATTAGTGTATATTATAGATTATATTATAATCTATAATATACACTAAGTGGCCAGATTTATTTATTTATATAAGTTTATAATGTTCTTTATTATATATATAGAATGTGGATTTATGTATTAAAAACTGAAGAATCTCTTTCTTTAGATTTCCATATTATTTTTATTCATGTTCTGAGATAGTCTTTCTCCTTTGCATTGTGGGGACACACATGTACACACTTAACCTGTGCACTCAGTGCCTAAAATGACATGCTCATCCTCTTCTTTATCCTGATAAACTGCACTAATTCTCAGGCCAAAGAGCTACTGAAGAAGTGTCTTGGAAATAGAAGAAAACAGAGATGTCTTATTCATCTAACACTCCCTTCATGCCTGCCCCTAGCCCCTTTTTTTCTCCCATGTGACAAATGGCAATAGCCCATGGATGGCCCTTCTTTGCTCCCTTGAAGGTTTGCTCCCAGATATTGAAAGTCTCAGTCAAAGGTGAAGGGCAGATGAGGCACTGCGAATGTACCAAGCACTTAGCTCATCTCACAGACATCAGCAGTAGTGACAATAACATCGTGAGAAGAAAGTCTGAGTGTGCCAGTGCTGTCCAGCTCTTTTCTGACAACCCAAGTCCATTCCACCACCCCTCCTTTTTTAAAGTATTATATGTGTACATATCTTACCATTGCCCACACACACACACACACACACACACACACACACACACACACAAACATACATGCCCTCCCTCCCCAGAGTTTTGCATCCATTGGTTATGTTTATATGCATGCATACAAGTCCTTCGCTTAATCTTTTATCTCCCCCATCTCCCTCCCCTCCCTGCTGTAATTTGACAGTTTATTGCTTTACTATTTCTATATCTTTTTGTTCATAAGTTTATAATGTTCTTTATTATCAATAAATGAGTGAGATCATGTGGTGTTTTTCTTTCATTGACTGGCTTATTTCACTCAGCATAATATTCTCCAGTTCCATCCAGGTTGCTGCAAAGATAAGAATTCCTTCTTTTTTATGGCAGCATAGTATTCCATTATGTAGATGTTCCATAGTTTTTGGATCCAGTCATCTGCTGACCAGCACCTAGGCTGATTCCAAATCCTAACTATTGTAAATTGTGCTGCTTTGAACATAGGAGTACATATATCTTTTTTGATTGGTGTTTCTAGTTTCTTAGGATATATTCCTAGAAGTGGGATTAATGGGTCAAATGGGAGTTCCATTTTCAGTTTTTTGAGGAAACTCCATACTGTTCTCCACAGTGGTTGCACCAGTCTGCATTCCCACCAGCAGTACAGGAGGGTTCCTTTTTCTCCACATCCTTGCCAACACTTTCTGTTTGTTGATTTGTTGATGATAGCCATTCTGACAGGTGTGAAATGATACTACATTGTCGTTTTGATTTGCATTCGGATAATTAGTGATTTTGAGCATGTTTTCATGTGTCTTTTGGCCTTCCTTCTGTCTTCTTTTGAGAAGATTCTATTTAGATCCATTGCCCATTTTTTAATTGGATCATTTATCTTTATTTATTAAGTTGTATAAGCTTCCTGTAGATATTTATCAGTTATAACATTTGCAAATATGTTCTCCCATACCGTAGGCTTTCTTGTTTTGTTGATGGTTTCTTTGCTGTAAAAAAGCTTTTTATTTTAATATAGTTCCATTTGTATATTTTCTCTTTAACTTCCATTGCCCTAGGGGCAATATCAGTGAAGAAGTTCTTTATGCATATGTCTGAGATTTTGCTGCCTGTGGATTCCTCCAGTATTTTTTAAAAATATATTTTATTGATTTTTTACAGAGGAAGGGAGAGGAATAGAGAGTGAGAAACATCTATGAGAGAGAAACATCGATCAGCCGCCTCCTGCACAGCTCCCACTAGGGATGTGCCCGAAACCAAGGTACATGCCCTTGATTGGAATTGAACCTGGGACCCTTGAGTCCGCAGGCCGACACTATCCACTGAGCCAAACTGGTTTTGGCT